AAAAGTTAAAACTTATAAATTTTATAAAGTAAAAAATTAAATATTAGTTTTTACTCTTCTTCTTTTTCTTTTTTTCTTTTTTCTTTTAGGGGAAGGGACCGCCCCTTTTCAATGCGTCCCACTTGCTCTGCAAGTCAAAAGTTACTTTTAAAGTCTTCGTCATAGCATCCTGTCGCGCACCATTATTATTGTCTTTCCCATTTGCCGCTTTGGGATTTAATTATTTGCGAAAATTGTGGTAGTGCTCTCCTCCTTCCAAGTGTTTTTGGTAGTGGCTAGGATTTAGGGTTCCTCCACACAATCTAATCTAATCTTATCTTTCCTCAACTTTTAGCGTACCGATATAAGAGTCCTATGGTTCACCCAACAGATAAAAAAAACACACACATATATATATATATATATATGTATATATATAAAAGAGTATTTATAGATGAATTATAGTAAAATTTAAAATATAAATATTTAAATAAAAAAAGACTCTTAATATTAAAAAATTGATTTTTTATGTTAGATTTTTATTTTATAATATAATATAATTTGAATTATAAAATAATTTTTATCAAAAATAAAGTTTAGAACCACTAACTGAACACCGGATTAGTTGGTTGACTTACATTGCGCCTAGCTAATGGGGTATTGATAAAAGAAATTGTAGAACCTAATTATTTACTTACTATGGGATTATGGACATATAATATTCCCACGCGGTCCGAACACGTTGTTAGGAATTCCATGTTCTAATAATGGTGAAAAGAATTCTGTGTACTTAATCAAACTCCCAATTTATAATTAACATATATATAAAATTTTCAACATGTTTTAAAGCCTTGGGTCATTTTTCAGCTTACCTTATATTAGGTTGTATTGTTGCAGAGATAATATCCTTCCCCTATTTTCAAGTCTATATTACTTGGCCCAAGCTTTTAAAATAACACTTCTTAGTTAGAAGTCCTTGGTTCAAATCATATTATTTGAGAAGGGTCTTAAAACTTTGATTAATTAAGACAGACAAAAAAATCCCTAAAAAAAAAATTATTTTTTTGAATTGAACTGGGGCCTTGTGATTGCAGATTGCAGCAACTGCTTTTATTACCTATCAAGTGACTATGATCTTTGTGGTGTAGACTTTGAGACTTTCCCTCATTGACAAGGTTGAATGTGTGTGGTGTGTGTGTTATGTGGTCTCCAACTGCCCTCCAACCAACTTATATTTTTTGCAATTATCCTGAAATTTGCTATATTCAAAGATAAAATAGAGCGTGGTTTCCTTATGATGCTAAACTGTGTACTGTAGCCAAAATGTGAAAATTGTGCATGTGGATCCAATTTAAAACTAATTGGTAATGGGCAGTGCAGTCCATTTTCTCACTCAACACACCCCTTCATCTCACGTGGCTTAATACGCCCACTGTCTAGTGGACTAACAACGGGCTCTTCCTAGAAAGGAAACTTATGCTTTGATATAATGTGAAAATTATACATACAGGTTTCAACACAAGATTTGCATTGAATTTAAAACTAAATAGTAATAATTAAAGTAGTTCTTTTATATTTAACCCACAAGTTTTTTTGTTATATCATCAATGTGAGATTTTCTCACTCAACACAAAAGAGTTCATTGCAAGTGCAAATAAAAAATAGAGTTCATAAATAAGCTAAAAAAGTATCCTCATGTTGGTCATTAAGAAAATAGAAAAGTGCAGTCCGCCTTATGTGGACTGCACTTTACTTAATTATTGATAGAGGGGTAGAACCCTTGATATTGGGGGCCCACCCTTCATCAATGGTTAAAGTACCATAGCATTCTCTTTAAAAAACTAGTTGCATCTATTAAACTAGTTGCATCTTTTTATTGTGTTATGGAATCATTAACTTTTGTTCCCTTTCCTAGAAAATGGCTTAATTTAATAAATAGTCTAGTAACTTTTGTGTTTTTTCTGTTTCGTCTATTATCTCTGAATATTTTTAGATTTATCTACTATTTTTTACTTTTATTTCAGATTACTCTAGTCAATTAACTTTCTAATAGCAGTTTTACCCCATTTGGTTAAATTGATCTTCAACTATATCTTTTGTGAATTTTTACTCCTTGAAATTAATGTTGAGATAAAACTAATTTTGTGAGGATGATAAGTTCCTTTTTATTGTTGGAGGAACTATAATCTTTATCATATACTGCTTCAACTTTTCCTTTTAACAATTCTCCTTAATTTGTAGCAAAATTAACTTGTTTTAATAGCCTACACAGTTTATCGTGGACTGTTTTGCTGACTAGGACTATTCTGTTTTAATTTTGATTTAATTTTTTTGTTTTTTTTTTTGTTATTTTTGTGTTAAAACTAATATAAGTCTTATACAGTAAACTATTTTAAAATATTTTATAAAGTTTAGAGACCATTTAGAAAGAAAACTAACTTTCTAAACTAAAATGAAATTAGGCTGATAGTTAATAGACAAATCATTGAATTAAGTCTCCTCCAAATATATAAATGTCCATGTACCATTCTCCCTTCAAACAAATTAACAGGTTGAAACCAAGGCCAATTTCCACATATTATCTAAAGTTAAAATTCTTGCTAATTAAATAGACAGCACTATAATTGAGAGATGACAGACAGCATTATACCATTCATTAGACCTTCTTTCCCTTTCGGTCTTTCAGCACCTATTCCATTTTATTTTTCTTGAGCTGTCTAATTTCTCTACAAGCATTACTCTTCTGTGAAGCTTTGATGACCAAGTATCAATTAGAAAAATATTAATGTCTTTTCTAAACTGCTTAATCATCTGCTTTTCATGGACAATGTTCATTCAAAATAGGACAAATTGTCAATCATGAAAAGTTGGAAGTATTTTTATTTTGTAAAAATTTTGGCGATAATTAATTAAGACACCTGTTTTCGCCATATAAAGAAAAAGGACACCTCTTTTCCTTACAGGATACATTTGTTTTTCAGGCTTTCCGGATTGATTTTAAGTCACCAACTTGAATTTTACTTAAAACACAACCATTTGGGTATCCTCTGGAAAAGGCACCTACCATAATGAGGGAAAATCTATTGCTAATTGATTGCATTATTTGCTTTCCAGCGTTCTATCAGAGGACTGACTATTGTTGTTGAAAGATTTCCAGTTGTTGATGTAGTGTACCTCCCATTCACCATAATTGTTTCTGTTTTTGTTCTTTTTTCCTTCAATCAGGAACAAATACGAATTGCGCTTTATGTTCACAAAGCAGCTCTGTATTTTATTGATGGTATGAAGCTTATTATTTGTAGATTTTAGTGGTTTAATCCTGCATGTCCGCATCCTCAATGACTTTTGTTAATGGGCAGCTGCTCGTTCTGTTGAATACAACCTCTCAGATGAGATCAGAAAAGAAAATTTTGGAATTCACCCTGAGGAGCTTGCATCTATTGTTCGTGTCCATGATATTAAACGCCTAAGAAATAAAGGTGGAGTTGAAGGGATTGCAAGGAAAGTCTCTGTTTCCCTTGATGAAGGTGTTCTCTCAACCAGCTTAGCTACAAGGCAAAAGATCTATGGTTTAAACCGTTTCACAGAGAAACCTCCAAAAAGCTTTTGGATGTTTGTGTGGGAAGCGCTGCAAGACATAACACTCATTATCCTTATGTTTTGTGCTGCACTGTCTATAGGTGTAGGAATTGCAACTGAAGGGTGGCCAAAGGGTATGTATGATGGACTTGGAATTATACTTACTATATTCTTGGTCGTCATGGTCGCTGCTATTAGTGACTACAGGCAGTCCTTGCAATTTAGGGATCTTGACAAGGAGAAGAAAATGATTATTGTTCAAGTTACCAGAGATGGAAGTAGAAAAAAGATTCCCATCTATGATTTGGTTGTTGGGGACGTTGTTCATTTAGCTATTGGGGACCAAGTGCCAGCTGATGGAGTTTTTATATCGGGATACAGCTTGCTGATTGATGAGTCAAGTTTGACAGGCGAAGTTGACCCTGTAAGTATAAATGAAGAACATCCTTTTCTTTCCTCAGGAGCCAAAGTTAGAGATGGGTTAGGAAAGATGCTGGTAACGGCAGTTGGTATGAGGACTGAATGGGGAAAGTTGATGGAAACTTTGAGCGAGGATGGACAAGATGAGACCCCACTTCAGGTGAAGTTGAATGGTGTGGCAACACTTATTGGTAAGATTGGTTTGACTGTTGGAGTGCTTACATTTGTGGTGTTGACAGGGAGGTTTCTCGTGGAAAAAGCACTCAGGAATGAGTTCACAGATTGGTCTTCAAGTGATGCATTGATACTTGTGGACTACTTTGCCACTGCAGTAACTATAATAGTTGTCGCTGTTCCTGAAGGATTGCCGCTGGCAGTGACACTGAGCCTTGCCTTTGCTATGAAGAAATTAATGAATGATAAAGCACTAGTAAGGCACCTCTCAGCTTGTGAGACAATGGGTTCTGCCACTTGCATCTGCACTGATAAGACAGGGACATTGACCACAAACCACATGGTGGTTGATAGGATATGGATATGTGATACCATTCAAGAAATCAGTGGTACTGGCAAAAGCAATTATACACTGGAAATATCTGAGAGAGTTTTAAGCACCCTTTTGCAAGCTATATTTCAAAATACTAGTGGTGAAGTGGTCAAGGATAAAGACGGAAAGAGCTCTGTTGTGGGAACTCCAACAGAATCAGCACTATTAGAATTTGGCTTGCTATTGGGTGGCGATCATGATGCCCAACAAAGACAGTTGAAGATACTCAAGGTTGAGCCTTTCAATTCAGACAGGAAGAAAATGTCTGTACTTGTGGCTCTTCCTGAAAGTGGTGCACGGGCTTTTTGTAAAGGTGCACCAGAAATGGTAGTAAGGATGTGTGACAATATTGTTGACTATAAAGGAGAACCGACAGTTCTAACTGAAAAGCTAATAGAGAAAACCATGAAAATCATTGATGACTTTGCCTCTGCAGCCCTGAGAACGCTTTGTTTGGCTTATAAAAATGTAGATAGCAATGGTTCTGCCCACAGCATCCCTGATAGTGGCTACACCTTAATAGCTGTAGTTGGAATCAAAGATCCAGTGCGCCCTGGAGTTAAGGAAGCAGTGCGAACTTGTTTAGCTGCGGGAATCACTGTTCGTATGGTTACTGGTGACAATATAAATACAGCAAAGGCTATAGCTAAAGAATGTGGCATACTTACACATAATGACAATGCCATTGAAGGACCAGAATTTCGTAGCAAGTCTCCTGATGAGATGAAGGAAATTATACCAAAAATTCAGGTTTTCTGGCAACAAATTTCTAAATTTTCACTCTGCACTTAAGGGGCAAAAACCTATCTTTAGCCCCTCATCTTACCAAGTCTGAAGGTTTTAGTCCCTCACATTATACTATAACACTATTAACCCCTCACCTTACTAAATTTGTACGTTTTAACTTCTCACCTATTAAAATCGAAGAAAAATAACCCTTATTTTATATTGAC